AAAACAGAGACACAGATAGGTATCTAAGGAGGGTTATCTAATCTCTTATCTGATCCAAATAACTGCATGTGTTGTCATGGTGATGTTTAGATGAGTTTAGATCACTTTCTGGTCATTATTTCTTCTGTCATCAGTCTGAGGAGGCTTCATTCGAAAACAAGCTCCACCCTCTCTAGCTGACATCACTTCTTGCCGTGTGAGGGTGTGTATGTGTGTGTTTATGAGAGTGAAGATACATTTTTCAGATGTCATGGACACATTGGGAACCGTTTGTTCCAGATAAATGAGTTTTTTTCTGGTTTTCACTTCCTTTATTTTAAGCTTAGACTCAGGTTTGCACTGGTAATGGTTAGGTTTAGGGTTGTCGTTGTCAGCAGGGTTGGAAGTTTCCTATGGATGTCTTTTTTTCCCAGGATTTTTCCACCACAAGATCAAATGTACTGGAAAGTTTAGTTTCTTTTGCTGAATAATTTGCCTTAAGCAGGCCCAAATCCAGTAATAACCTTGAGGTGGGACTCAATATCTATGAATCAGGGGTTTTGGGGGCATGAATAGCAGAGGGAATTATAGAAAAAGAAAGCCAGCAGGTGTAATCTGAGTATAGAAGAAAGCGTTTTCCCTTCTCTGTGTCTATGTCCGTCCATCCATCCATCTTCTTCCACTTATCCGGGGTCGGGTCGCTTTAGTAGCAGCTTCAGTAGGGAGGCCCAGACGTCCCTCTCCCCAGCCACTTCGGCCAGCTCCTCCGGGGGAATCCCAAGATGCTCCCATGCCAGACAAGAAACTTAATCCCTCCAGCGTGTCCTGGGTCTCCCCCTGGGCCTCCTCCTGTGGGATGTGTTAGTAACACCTCACCAGGGAGACGTCCAGGAGGCATCCTAACCAGATGCCCCAGCCACCTCAACTGGCTCCTCTCAATGTGGAGGAGCAGTGGCTCTACTCTGAGTCCTCCCCGGATGCCTGAGCTCCTCATCCTATCTCTATTAGAGAGAGCAGGCACACTACAGAGAAAACTAATTTGGTATCTTCTGTCCGGGATCTTGTTCTTTAGGTCATGACCCAAAGCTCATGGCAATAGATTAGAGTAGGAACATAGATCGA